TATATAGATTAAATAGCTATGGTGAGAAGATTCAACCCTGATGCACACCTTTCCTGATTTTAAACCATACAGTATTCCCTTGTTCTGTTGGCATTGAACAGCCTCTTGATCTTGTACAAGTTCCGCATAAGCACAATGAAGTGTTCTGAAAAGGCTATCCACAGTTTGTTAACATTATCAATAGTAGGGATCACTTATTTTCTAAAATTAACTAGCCTTCTTAAGACTCGGAATCTCTGGGGGATACAAATGATTAATGCACTAATATGCTCATCAAAAGTGGATGTTTGCGTCCATCACATGTACACTGCAGAAGAAACTGCTCAGCACTCTCCTACCAGAACCCTGTCCGTAAAAGCCCCACAGAGCACAATTCGGTTCTGATAGCGATGGGGTCGCCATGAATTAGGATGGTAGATAAATCAGGAGAGTTTTAAGAATTCCAAATTATGTTTAGTGGGTTTCTACATTTTCAGCCTATGGTAATTAAAAAATAAAGGTTTTTAAAGTTTATTTTAAAAATAAAGTTATTTTCAGATATTTCTACATTTGTATCTATAATTCAGGTGCTAGTTTGTTGTACTTTGGTGGCTTAAGTGTTGCTGTGATGCTGAAAGCGATGCCACAAGTATTTCAAATGCCAACAAGGCCACCGATGGAGAATTGACCAGAAGAAAGAGGCCAAGAAGAAGAACGTGCCAGAGGCAGTTCACTTTTGTGGGCCTGTGTTGTTACTGGGAACCATCAGGTCAAACCTGGCTCATCGGGGTCCTACATACAACAACATGCAACACCGCCTGGTCGTGTGATCCTCGCATTGCTACTATGTTTGAGTCCGTTATTTCAGCCATGAATCAAGCTGCCTCTGGAAGGGTCTTCGTTTTTATAATCCTCTACTTCACCAAGTATGATGTCTTTTTTCCTGGGACTGGTATCCAAAGTATATGATCTTTGCTTCTAAGGAGAGTTCTGTCTTGAAAGAAGTACAGCCAGAGAACTCTTCAGAAGAAAGGATGATAAATCTTAAGCTCACGTGCTTTGACATGTTATCAGGAGCAGTAAGTCTCTGGAAAAGGTAGATGCAATGAGATCAAACAATTGTGAGGCTGGCTCAGACCTAGGCAGCATGTCTGTCTGCTATGCATAGGGTTACAATGAGTCTCTGAACCAGTTCAAAGGCATCTACAACAGCAACCGCAATGGCATTGTGGCATAATCATAAATATAACATATGACTTTATTTGGATGCCAGAAAATGAATTACCTGATGCAGCTGGATTTGAGGGAAACTTGAGTGATTATCTTCAGATTGCTATTCATTCACATTTTTGAGCTGGGGTCAGGTGATAGTAATAAATGCAATGAACGTGATAAATGACCCCACCTTTCAGCACTGACATCAGAATAAGAACCTGGGATATTACTTTGTAAAAAATTGAATCAAAACAGCTCTTTGAACAGATTAGGACTGCATTACTGACATTTGAACGAACTCTGTTCTCTCTAATTGCCTTGCTTTCCACTAACCTTTTCCACCACCAAGAGGTGACTTTAAATACGTAGACTGGGGTTCCGCCTAAGATCAAGTTTCCTGGGTGCCATGTAGAATTCATGTGGCTTGGGGGCAGGGAGGGATTTATAGATGCTTCATCAGGAAAGTGGAGATAAAAGAATGGTTGTGCCAGTATACTTGCATACGTGGCAAACAGGACTGGGCTCCGCTGCTCATAGAAAAGCAGGCACTGGGTCAAGCACAGATGCCATGGGAGAAAGGCCAGACAAGCTACTCTCCAACCATCAGAGAAGGGAAACTGTGCCGCGCAGTTCTACCCTGGCATGCAGGGCATCATCGTGAACTGAAACCAACTTTTGGCATCAGATTTTAATGCACAATAATGTTCAAGTGAAGCACACTTTCTCCAAAATCGAAAGTAGATGTTTTAGTGGAAGCTCATGAATGAAGTTTAGTGTTTGTGTGCATATGTGTTTATAACCATTCAACTCCAGTGATAGTTCAATTTTCTACTGTAGAGTAGTTATAAAATTGTTCAGATAGCATTGTGCAAAGGGGCCCTTCCTGGTCTAATGTTCTCGATGATGCTCCAAGTGAGCACAAGTGACTCCATCCCCCACGAGTTATCTTGAGGGACGTTTCTGCATGTTTTTCATCTCAGTTCATAAAGATATGCCAACTACTCAGTATGGAAAGAGGCATAAGTTTATGAGAACACTGTGAACTGGGACACCCAGTTCTACGTTCAATTTGTTCACAATCTTACACCAATAAGTATTTCTCTAAATATGAATTGGAAAGATAGGTAGATGTTTATTTTTAGAATAAAAACCGAGTATGAAGAAAGAGAAACTGTTATACAAATAAGAAGAAATATCATATTTAGTCATCCTAAATAATGTATTCAGGGGGAGAAGAGAGGATGAACTCAGTCCAATTTTCAACTCTGGATTTTCTTGAGATTGGGGGAGAGTGAAAGTGGGCTATATAATTTAAGAATGTGTTACAAAATCAATATTCTGTACAAGGAAAGTTTCATAAATCTGTTTTTCTTTAAATATGCTACAGAAAAAATCATCCACATCATTACATTAAAGAAAGTAGAAAAGGTTTTACAAATAAATTAATGTTTTCAAAATAAATATGGTACTTGAAAGGAGTGGCTTGGCTTTCTGTTGTCTTTGAGGAACTTAGTATTGGTATTTCCCTCACTTTGACTTCTGACTGTGCACTGCGAATGAGCTCGCTTTACTGTTTGCTGTCCAGGGGCACTCACACGCCTGAGCTCTGTGGGCGTCTCTGATGGAAATAGCCCATTTTTTTTCTTGTGAAAACTTCTAGTTCTCTGAAATGACTCAGCAGCGAGAAGAAATGCAAAGCACTTCAAACTGGCTCCCAAGCAATAATGTAAGCTTCAGCAATTTGTCACTTTCTTCGTGGTATAGATCACGGGTGTTGGTAGGTTCCTGTCTAAGGGAATGCGCTCTGGATTGAGCTGCCTTAGCGTTCAAAGTCCTTCTTTCCATGAATGAATGGTGCAACTTCAGACAAGTTATCTACACTTTATGAGCACAGTTACCTCCCCTGTAAAATAGGGATGATCAGAACGTCTAACGAACGGTGCTGTGGAAAGGAGCTATAGGCACAAGGAAACACATCTACTAAAGAAGTCTGGTGCGTGGTATATGTATTCATTGGAAGTATTCTTTTCATCTTTCTTTTCCTATTTCTATATTTTCCAGCTGTGCTGTAATAGGAAAAGGTAGCCTAAGCCATTAAAAGAGTAAATAGTGGAATATGAAGGCACTATAAATGTCAGAGAAGAAATACACTTTAGATTTGCAGGGTTAAACAATGCAAACTAAAGGTCAGAAGTGGGAAGGATACAGCCTGAAAAGAGAAGAATAATAATTCATCTCAAGTGGTCCCCTATAACACGATGGAAACTGGCCTTGCTACGTCCTACTTGAGACAATACCTGTGACCACTGCTAGCCCTTCAAAGATTCAGTGAAAAACAATTCCTTATGTTCAGAGTGTGTAAATTATTTTCCTCATAAAATCAGATCCTGATGCATAAGGATATAAATGGTGTTTGATCTTGTAGCCAGTACACATGCAGGGCTACCTCTCTGAGGCACAAGCACACCGTGTGTGGAGCTGCGTTTTGTACTACTCTCCAAGGCCCTGCATAAACTGACCAGACCCTTTCCATTTTCTCTGTATTGACCTCTTATATCCAAATATGAATTAACATATTTTGCATATATTGCATATTTAAATTGAACTCACATATAGGCAAAACAATGATTTCTTTTAGATAAAAACCTATACTCACCTCTGTCTAATGTGGTAATTTATATATCTTATGAAATTTGGTGGCTTTTTCTCTTAAACAACAGGAGCCCTGGGGGCTCAGTGGATACAAGTTGAGCTATTACCACAAGATCAGCAGTTCAGAACCACCTGCTGCTCTGCAGGAGAGATGAGGCTTTCTACTCTTGTAAAGAATCACAGTCTTGGAAGTCCACGGAGGCAGTTCTATCCCGTCCTAGAGGGTCACTATGAGTCTGCAGCGACTGATGGTGGCGACTTTGTTTTTCTCTTGGACAATACATTATAGCAACTTCAATCAGATTCTGAACTTTAATGGTATATGTAATGTTAATGTAGCAAGCTCTGTGATTGATAGAATACATGGATTCTACCAAAACATCAGAACTGGAAGTTCCCTGTAACCCTTCTGAAATATAGAAGACATGCCTCTTTTGGAGGATGTATTAAAGCAGCGATCTGTTCAATGGCTTCCCATTTCTTCTATTTCTTTCTTCTTTTGCTAAGAAATGTTTTGCAGGGGCTCCATGGAGACAGGAGTTCAGGCTACCTTTTCAACATTCCATAATTGGAATTCTATTCACTTTGCCAACTCCATTCCTTGCCAAACTGCATCCCCCAAAGCATGCCTTTACACACCCAGTATGACAGTTTCAAAGTTTGAAACCCATTATTGACATCAAATCCTTCTTTGCTTTGTCTGAAGAAAGCCCAGAAAAAAGTAGGAATATTTTCTACAGCAACATAGCGATTTAGTATTTGAGACTATATTTTAGGCTTTCTGTCTTGTTTTGAATCATGTAGTATATCCTAATTTACTGTAATCAACTATGAATTGATGTTTGCATAAACACTTGCTACATTAAAAAATACATCTTCTTTTTATGCGTTCGGCTGAACTCCTCCCCCTCTCTGCCATTGAGTCAATTCTGACCCATAGCTCCCACAGATGACAGCTCGCGCCCTCCCTTTGAGATTCTGAAGCTGTGTCTCTTAGCGGAGCACAAGGCCTCATCCAGCTCCCAGGTGTGGTTGGTGAGGTCGAGCTGCCAACCTCGGTTCCCAGCCAAACACATCACCCACTGTGCGGCCAGGGCCTCTCACTCTCAATGAGAGATGCATGTCATTCCAAGCAATGGTCATTTTTCACTTACTCTTGTGTTGTTTCTTTCAGCTTTCAGTTCGGAGATTTCTTCTTCCTTTTCTAGAAGTTGTTCTCTGCAGGCATTTAATTCTTTTGTCAGTGCAGCAAATTCCTGAAAGGTAAATACAAATATTTGAAGACTTCTTCGCTGATGTTAAAATAATATATTTCTTCAGGAAGAGAAAAATTCAAGATAGAACTTTTGAATAAAAAGAAAGAAAAATACCTAGTTGGCTGGTGAATATAAGCATTGTTTTAATTAAAATGCTTTATTTCAGTGTTATGAAAGTGCTTTTCCAATGGTTCAATATATGCATTTATACTATAATATCCCATTTAGATGATTGCATAAAATATTATCAAATATGTGTACCAGCAAGTATCATAATTTATTTAACATTAATATGACCTTTCTCTCTTTCTTTCTCTCTCTTATCTCTCTCTCTCTGCCATCGATTCAATACTGACTCATAACAACCCCTGTGGGTTTCTGAGAGTGTAATTGTTCATGAGAGTACAAACTCCAGTCGTTCTCCCGTGGAGCTGCTGGTGACTTTGAACTGCTGACCTTGTGGATAGCAGCTCAATGAATAACCACTATGCCACCAGGGTTCCAATAACATTGCTGGGATGATTAAAGTTTGGATAATTATATGAATGTCTTCAACAATCCCATACATTTAGTTCTATGTAATAATATTGAGTACAGTAAACCGTAAAAATACAAAACAATACTAACTTCTATTTAGAGAGTAAGAAGCTAATTTTTTCCCACTAACAAGATAAAGAGAATGTACCAATCTCATAAAATAATACATGCATCTAAGATGCTAGAACATTATCTAAGACTATCATTTATGTGTATGTATGTCTTTTTTTCCAATCACATGTAAGTTCTGTGTGAACATAAGATTTAGTTGACTTTTCACTTCCATTTTCTGCGTCTGACACTTAGTGGATTCTCAACTGATATCATTTTCAATAAGTAATAGTGGTCATATTACTTCTAATTGGGGGGTTTAAAGTAATCTTTTCTTCTGGTAGTAAATGAAAATTCGGAGGATATAAAAATGGTTTCCTTCCTCATAGAGAGGTGATATGTAGAGCTATTCTTACCCCTAGGATGAGAATTTGGACACAAAATAGATTTCATTATAAGACAAAGATCTTTAATTATTCTTCTATTCTTTCTTATAAACCAATATTTATTAAAAACAAAGTGGGACGATAGTAGAAAATCCTGTAACGTCACTGAACTCTTTCGAGTGAGCCACAGTTGTAAAGTCAGTGTTTGTGAACCCCTTTAAGTATTGGGGAGAACTTGGCTCTAGGTGGAGAAAGTACTATCCGATGATCAAAAGGAGAAAAATCAGTCATGGAAGGCAGGTTTGGTCACCCTCACCTTCACCCCAGCACGTTTACAGAAGCTTTCATGAGCATGTGAGGACGAATGCTGGGAAATGTTTAGAGTTTATGTTTTTGTTTGCTTTAAACCACTTATTTTGCTGAGTTTCTCTGGGTGGCTTTAGCCCCAGTGGGTATTTCAAAGACCTCAGAGGAGACACTGGGCTCCGAATCAAGATGAAAGAGCTTTGTTACATCTGGGTGCAACTACAAGTAAATATGTTTCTCCCTTGATTGCTGTCTACTTGGCAATACTCTCTGAGCATAGTATTTAAATGGAGAATGGAAATAAACAAAAATAGGGGGAAAATGAAAGTCTGGAAAAAAGTGAATTTTTCTATAAACTGTATGATTTTGGAAGAGAAAAGAAATATAAGAAAGTGTAAGTCTAAATTTCATAATACACAAGGGTAAGTACAAAAGCATTGCTATAAGAATACAGTTAACACATGTACAAGTTTATTCCAATCAAGGGATTATTTTGACATATATCTGCATTCAGTTCTCTCAATAATACACTTGTCTTAGTCTCAGTAGGGTACTTTCAAATAAGGTCCAATCAAAACAGTGGCATCTGAGGTGATCTGCCGTACTAGTTAGATTTAAGACAAAAGGTCAGTACAGAATGGTATGGTGACTGATTGGGAGGCTTTTAAAGGGACAACCTTGATAGATTTTCTCAAAGAACACAGGATGATAATTAGGATTCATTATAAAGAAGCTTCAAGAAAATAAAAATAAGAACATTTGCAAGGCCAGGAAAGTTGCGCCAACATTTTCCCCTCGTCGTGTATTATGCCAAGGTAGGAAGGGCTACCCTATGAGTGTTTCGACACAAAGCCTTATCTTGACCCTTTGGATGGCTTTTGGTTCCTAAGATGCAGATGATATTTAAGAGGAACATGATTGGAGCGCACCGAGGATGCCCCAAATGCCATTGTGACGTGAGGTAAGTTGAGAGCACGTGCTTCGTGGGGGAGGGCTGATCCAAGGCCGTGGAGTCGACTCGTGGTCACAGCAGCCTGATGGCTGAGACCAGAGCTGCCCCGCAGGCGCTCTGAGACTGCAGTTCTTTGCTGTGGTGCACAGCCTCCTCTTTCTCCAGTTTGAACTACCCACCTTGCAGGTAACTGCCCAACACTTAACCCGTGGCACCTCCTGCAGGGTTAGAGCAATGGCAACACTGTTGATTTTAGACAGAGATTGAGGAACATAAACAATAGTTTTACAAGTAAAATGTTATTTTCTTGTTTACTAAAACTTTCTATGCTTTTTGAATGCACACTTTTTAATTTACCCTTATATATGGAATAGCCAACATAGTGTTGCGCAGCTACTCATTTGGCACCCTAAAAACATCCTGGAAGAAAGAAAGACCTGATGAATTGCTTCTGCTAGCTCACAGCCTGGACCCTCCAGAGCACACACACATATTAAGCGTTCATGGGGTTGCTACCAGTCAGAACCAATTAGGCAGCAAGAGCAACAACATGCCGTATTTTGAATAGGAGGAGGCTGAGGCTGAGTCTGAATGAACTGCTCAAACTAGAAAGTGATAGGTAAAAAAATGAACAAACATCTCAGAATCCAATTAACTATACTCTAGTCTCTTCAGCATCAACTCTCTCTCCCCGCACATGCTCATTAAGTTTCTCAACAGCCCATACACACAACATTTATGCGCACCCACCACATAATAGACACTGCACTAGGTGTCAAAGGTATAAAGATATTTTGGACATATTTGCCACATTTGACTTTCGGAATCTTCAGAATTCAGGTTGAGATGCACAGGGTGTTTCCATCAACAATAAGCCCTCAAAACCCAACCACACACACACACAATTATCATGTGCTCTTTGAGATACTGGTTTAACTTACAAATTATTCTTTGCCATTCTAAAGTCTCCATGTTAGGAGGTCTATTTTCTACCTGTACTGACCCCAATCTCTGTCTTTCCATCTCCAGCTTTTCCATTTGTCTCTCCTCCTGCTACTCTATTTAATACATGCTACCTGAAATTCCCTTCCTCATTCTCGCTGCCTAACTAACCCATTTTTAAACCATCAGCTTGAATCTTCAATAATATCTTGATCAAATCTGCCAATGCAATTAACCCTCATATTTATAATTGAATAATGGGTTTCTCTATTCAAAGTAAATATAATGACCCTTGAAAGGGATGCTTTCTTTGTACAAATAAATCATTGTTGTAAGATTAAAGGAATGGCTGCATTTCCTGACGCTTTTTTATTTTAATACAAGAATATTTTTTAATCTAACTATAATTAAAGTTATTTTCCCCTAAAGTAAAGATCATTGGAATTTTCTTTATATTACAATATTTTATTCTTTTTACTTTGGGCACTGTGTTATATTTGACCTATCATTCATTTGACTAGTTATTGAACTGTGTTGGCTTGCATGTTACTGTGATGCTGAAGCTGTGCCACTGGTATGAAATACCAGCAGAGTCATTTGTGTTGGGCAGGTTTCGATAGGGCTTCCAGACTATGACAGATTAGCAAGAAGGAAAAAGGACTCCTTGAGACTGTTATGGATTTTGAAGAATGATGTGGGATAGTGCTAAAAGATAAGCACCACCTAGGATGAAAAGCACTCAAAATACTTCTCCGAATGACAAGAAACAGCTGAAGCATCCACAGTCAGGCTGTGCAATGTATAAAGTATGAATACAGGAAAACTGGAAGTCGTCAAAAGTGAAATGGAACTCATAAAGATTGACACTCTAGGAACTGAATGGACTAGTATTGGTGATTCCGAGTTAGATACTTATTCCTGTGCCAGGGATGACAAATTACAGAGAAATGCCATCGCATTCATCATCACAAGCGCTTTGCGTGATCTATCCTGATGCGTAACGCTATCGGGTGTAGGATAATATCCATAGGCATACATAGAAGATCAGTTACTGTGATCCATATTCAAATGTACATGGACAGAATTAAATCCAAGGGTGAAGAAATGAAGTAATTATACTAACAGCTGCAGTCTGAAATTGATCACACATGTAATTAAGATGAAATCAAAAGTGGTCCTCATCCCTAGGTCACACAGGCTATCTGCTCCTAAGGGTGTCTTTAAGAATCTGTAGATAAGTTGGATTTCGTAGTTAACTCTGGTTCTCCCTTAGCCTTACTTTAGTGTAAGGAAGGGGCTTCGTGGCAGAGTGGACTAAGCACTGGGCTGCTAATCAGAAGGGGGTGATTTGGTCTCCCTGGCAGTTGCACGGAGGAGTGATGGGCACCAGGTTCCTTTGGGGCAGTTCTACTCTGACTCACAGGGCAGCTGTGAGCTGGCATTGACTCGCTGGGCTTCTCTAGTGCTCCAGTCATAGAGGAGGCATGGCGATTGTTCACACATGGGTGGAACCTGAAACTCTGACCCTTAATCACCCTTCCAGTCCGGAAGGGAACTCACCTCTGTGGTTCAGGACAATGGTCAGCAGGGTTAGGAAAGCAAGAGGAACAAGGGAACAGGAAACACAGGAGAACATAGCATAACGAATGTTTCTTTACGAGGATTGCAATCAATGGGGTGACACAAACTGTGTATGAATTGTTGAATGGAAAACTGATCTATTGCAGGAATCTTCACCCAAATCACAATAAAATAAAAACAACAACACAAAATACCTCAGCAACCGATCTGTTTGAATGTGTGACCTTGCAATTAGCAGTCCAATG